TGAATGGGCTGCTGATTTATTTTCCAAAGCTTTGGTACAATTTTAATACAATGTATATATGTGTATATGCTGTACACATTATGTTTTTTTTTAAATAAAAAATTCTAGGATCAGAAAAGAAATGCAAGTTCAGAGCTGTGTTTCTTTCTCCTGGGAAGCACACTAACATTCGACTGTATGATTTGCAGCACATTGCCGGCAATAACAAAATACAAACGAATGTGCCTCCAGTTTTTTTAATCCATATATTTTAGATACAATGTAATAAAACACCTACCTGTTCATTTAGAAATGTTTTCATTAGATTGCTGTTCTAAACCTGTCCACAACCGAAAGATCTGAGCCCTTTGCAGTGTGTTTAAAGTCTCTGACAGCTAACTGTGTAGCTGAAATTAAGCAGGACTTCAGTAAAGTTAATTATATTAATAAAATACAAGCATTTTTCACCATATCTCCCCATGCTGATACATCAGAGCAGAACAGAGTACAAAGATCTGCCCCTCTCCCAGTTTGACTAAATATGGTGTCAAAAAGCTTAGGTCACTGTTTAATGTCAGAAAAAGGATCTAATTCGCAAACAGTTATCACATTATACTGAGAATTCATTTTTCATTGCCTAACCACAAGTCCTGAGGCTGTATTAAAAGAAACTTCTGGGAAAATCGCTCACTTCCAGTGAAAATGGGCAGTTCCTCATGTCTCATGCCTGCGCTAGGCTGTCCACCTGGAAATGAGTTCCGGCCCAGGAGCAGCACTGCGACCTAGAGCCCACCACAGTCCTGCTGCCCTGCCAGCGCTGTGCCTGTGGAAACTGGGCTCCTCCGTGATCCAAACTCCTCATTGATTCAGGAATGCCAGCTCTTTTTGCAGTTTTTTTGCAAACATTAACCTTTTAATGTGAGTGGTGACTGACAATATTCACACTACCGTACCACTGAGTTCAAAAGAGTTTCTTTTTAAATTTGAGATTTTAAGTTGGTAGCAGAAAATCTTAATTGACCCTATGGATGATTTGAGACCATCTAAACATTAAGAAAACTCACCATACCCATACCTTATTGGGAGTTTTAACTACCCAGTGACTGAAATCTGTACAAAAGTGAAAAAGGCTAGTAAGTGAAAAGTGTTTCTGTTTGGATCCTTTTGTTCAAAGTAGTGGTCAAAAGCACTGTGACAGGTTTGTTTCTTTTCTTTAACACATTTCTCCCGTGTTTTAATTTCATTTCTTCTCCCTCTCTCTTACTTCGGTTTAATGGCCCAGTGTGTTTATTTAGGCACCGAGCCTGGTGCTTTCCTGTTCTGCTTTGCCTGTCTCTCCTGCTCTGAACTCCAGCCTCCACCCAGCACCTCCACCCCCTTGGCCCTTTCTCCAGGCTTGTTACTAGGCAACCCTGCTCCTACAAAGGCCAGGCCTCATCCAGCCAATGAGCCGGCGGTGTTTACTTTCAAACAGGTATCAGTCAAGAGGGGAGGAGGGCTGTTCTGCAGATACCTGTGAAACCCACACATTCCAGGCAGGCTGTTGTGTTCCTGCCTAAACCATCTCCTTATTTTTGCCACAGGAACAAAGCAAAACATCTCTGCTGCACTTCTTTCTGGCTACACATGGGGGGCTGGTAGATTTAGTTTTTGTTTTGCAAAAATCTGAGATTCCACATAATGTAAATGGAAAAAAGTTTATAAAATTAATACATCTTTTGAATTGGGCAAATACTAAAAAAGAATAGAATATGAAGAGGGTAGACTGGAGAGCTGCAAGGGAACAAGCAGAGGTTAACTCCACACTGAAAAATAAAACTAAGAATAAGCCGTCTTCAGGTGTGTAGGGTGACGATTATAACATATTTCTGTGACACCCCTCTCTCCTCCACATTTCTGCAGAGACTACATAACCAAAAAATGTTCTCTTCACTTTTCAGTATAGAATTAACCTCTACTCTTTCCATAAAATATAAGTGTTTCCATTTTAAAAAAATATTATATTAAAGAGTTGTCATTCCTGAAAGGAAACAGCAGATGTGTAAGGCCACACAAATAACCAGTCCTGTGGACCTTAGTTAACTAACCCATGTTGTCTTCTTCCCTGCTGCTGTTTGTGTTAATTGTATCTTACTTATCTTCACCTTTTTATACTTTTTATCAAAGACATTTTAATAACAACAATTTCTGAGAAACTCTTTTGAAGAATGTAACGCAATAAGAATCCGTCCTTCGGATGAGACGTAAAACCGAGGTCCTGACTCTCTGTGGTCATTAAAAATCCCAGGGCGCTTCTCGAAAAGAGTAGGGGTGTACCCCGGCGTCCTGGCCAAATTTCCCATCGGCCTTTATCAATCATGGCCTCCTAACAATCCCCCTCTATAAATTGGCTTCTTTACTCTGCTCTCCTCCCCACTGATAGCTGGTATGTGGTGAGTGTTCTGGCGCACTATGGCTGCCATCGCATCATCCAGGTGGATGCACACTGGTGGTGGTGGAGGGGAGTCCCCATTACCTGTAAAGCGCTTTGAGTGGAGTGTCCAGAAAAGCGCTATATCAGTGAAAGCAATTATTATTATTATTATTAATAAGCTTAACTGACTGAACGAGGTAAAGTGCGGTTCTAGGATTTCGCCACTGGAGGGCAGCGTTCACTGCTCGGCAGCCCTGGCTAATGAAATCTGCCTCAAATGGCATCATCCAGGCCGCGGCTGGTTTTATTAGTCCACCACAGTCCATAAACATATTCCAGTCAGAGAAGCACAAGGACAAGTTTGTCGCCTTATTACAGTTTTCCACAGGATGTACTTCTTTACACAGGGAGCTGTGCGTAAGTGAGGAAACCACCCAGCCACCCTGCGGAACAAATTCACCGCAATCTTGCTAGATCTCGATCTTGTACAGATGAGCCCCGGTAACCAAGCTAGCAATATGGGATGCATAGCGTCCCCTAAACCGTCCCGTTCTGTGATCGAATGAACGGTTTTGGACGCACGGGCACTGAAAAGCTCCCTGTTTCCACGTTGCTGCTGGTCCGACGCCAGGTGACGGAATGGACCGGCAGAGCGCTGTCGGGCCAGGGCCGGCCTGTGGAGCCGCCAGCTGGGCGCCACGTCTCTCCGGCAGCCGGCGCTCGCTCGCCCTGCGGCGCGTCAAAGGACAGGTCGGCAGGACCGGAATACGTGGGTATTTCACAAAAACAGCGATTTCAAACGTCAAAAATCCGCATCGGGACAAGATCCTTTGATCCACCGCTCATGGTGGTGGCCGGGGCACAAGAGCACCCTCTCAGCAGTCAGCGAGGGAGTCTTACCTTGCTCCCGTAGATGGTAGTCCTGCGTTGGCCTAATTTCTCTGTAAAAGCCACCATGGAGAAAGCAGCGGTGAGGCCTTCTTCGAACTCCATGTTGACAACCTGAGAGGCAGTCACAGGGAAAGGTAATAATGTAATAATAATAATGTAATAATGTTTCTTTATCGCCCCTATACAATTTCTTGCATTAGGAATTCGTATTTTCGCATCCCCCAGCTTTTCTCCATGGAGACACAGACACACAGACAGGGAGAGAAGCCTGGGGTCAGAGCACAGGGTCAGCCATTGTACGGCACCCCTGGAGCAGTTGGGGTTAAGGGCCTTGCTCAGGGGCCCAAAAGAGTAGGATTCCTCTGCCGGCCGCGGGATTTGAACCGGCAACCTTCCAGTCACAGGCGCAGATCCTGAGCCACAGAGCCACCACTCCGCCCCAGGTCAGGTCAGGTCAGGTCAGGTCAGCCCCGCGCACCGGCACCGCCAGAGACGAGAACTGAAACTCTCTGCTCACAAACACGCAGCTACAACAGACACTCGGCTGGCTCTAAAACTCAACTTTTCTGTTCGCACCGACGCGTGTGTTTCAGGGAAGGCGGGGGGGGGGATCTTCTCGATGGCTAAAACACAATCAGCTCAGTGTCACAAAAGTGCATCCGTTGCTCCCTGACCTGTAACGACACGATTTGATGGGCTCGAGCAGGGAGCGCCTCTCACCTGATTGGTGCAGACGTCATTGTCACATTGGTAGACGCAGCGGCCGTATGGACCAGTCCGCAGGGCCTCGGTCACTGACTCGATGTCGGGGACGGTGCTCTGGCACACCACCGATACGGGCCAGCCCACCGCACCCTGGGAGAGAGAGCATAACAAAATGAATGAGACGAGCAAAGGGGCCTTCTATTGTCAGGTTTGTCTCACAAAGACCTTAACAGCCAGCCACAGTGTTATCATTCCTGATGACGCCTCTTCTGCAGCCACTGAGCTGGGAGAACTGTGGTGGAAACAGGATGTTTGTGTCGTCACCCTGTTGGAAACAGCTCCCTGGAGAGGGGTATGCAGATCCCCGTATTTGCCAGTATGATGGCAGACTTTATTCTAGCTTCTTACTGCTGGGTTCCCCAATCTAGGCCCTTGTGACCCCCATTCTCTGCGGGGTTTTGTTGCAACTGAGCGCTTGTTTATTTATTTGAACCCCAAATTTAAGTAATCCCTTACGAATGAGGCATTTTATAATTGCTTTCACTACCGCAACTGGAAGAGATTTTCAAGTTGCCTTTATCTTGACAACTGCAACGTTTCAGGAGCATAACATCCATTCAGGAGGTCCGACCAATTCCGCGCGACTGGAGTCCATGGGGAATGAACGTAGCAGACTCGGGACAGGCAAGGCCCATTAGCAGAATCCTGCTCAGTGAGTAGTCCGCTGACAAACCCAGGAGAGGTTATTTTTCCGTGGCCAGGGCTGCTGACAATTCTGTAATCTGATCCGAGTTGATCCGTGTGCATCTGTCCGACCTCTTCTGAAGTTTTAAAATTGTTTCAACAAAAATGTGCGCGGCTCCAGAATCCCTTCTTGGAAGTCCAGTTTCAAGTTAAATTTCAGGGAAATCGGAAGAAGGGAGAGCTTGAGGGCACAGAAGCTTAATGAGGAGCTGGTTAACAGGCAGGAGACAGCATGTGGAGTTCAGAAAACCTCCATGTGTTTGAGAGGCGAATTCACTGAGAGACCACCCTGCTGTCACTACCCTGTTCGTGCCGCGGGATAACAATGTGAAAAAACATGCCTCTTCCTTCACATTTGTTTGAAACATGTTTCCACGTGTTGCAACACTCTTCTGCGAACTTGCTCACGGGCAGCACTCACTGCCCTAAACTGCACTGCCTTGAGTCTTTCAAAATCGGAGCTCAGTGCTACGCTGCCAAGTTCCCATTACAACCCAGACTTCTTCAGCAGGGAGAGAAACTTCACGGGGAGAGACATGCAGCCCTGCGACTGTTCCTGCAGCACAGAGCCAGCAGTGCTGCTGTCACTGGCCGACAGCCATACCTGCGATCAGAATAAAGCGCTATAAGAAAAATGGGCAGCACGACAGTTCCAACCCCGAGGACAGACCGAGCTCTAAGATCCAGACTAATTCCGACCTGTCTGCGCCAGTGCAGCTGGGCGAGATACAAGTGTGTCAATGTCTGACTGACCTGTTTGACTCTGTCCAAGTAGATCCTGAGTGCTGAATACGGACAGGAGCCCTCTACAGGACAGTCCAAGCAGCGCTCTGTTGCTCCGGGAGGCTGAGGACAAAAAGGCACCATAAACACAGACCGTGGGGTAACTGATCTCACCCATAGACATGGCACAGGCTGAGCCCTGCTGTCTCAGACACAATGTGCCTTTGAAAGCCCGAAAGTTACAAGCCACGCAAAAACAAAACCCCCCCAAGGGAAAGATTACACCACCGAGATCTACTAACATCGTATAACAGCCCTGCGCCATCCCCACCTTCTGTTTCCAGGTCCCTAATGAGTTATGTCTGAGATGCACATGCACAGGACGCACCTGGTTGTCCTTGGTAAAGTGGCTCAGGGATCCAAATGATGACACTTTCATGCACCTGGCAGAAGGAAAACACACGTTCAGCTCGAGCACACCTTGGCGTGCACTATCTGCCTGCCTACCGGGCCTCAGCTCTGCCTCATGGGTGACGGGGCCAGTAGACTTCCAGTACCAGTACCAGTACCAGTACCCTCCCACCCGCTCTCCCCAGAGAAGGAGATTGGTAGCACTTACATATGCACACATGAGGTCTCTAAGAGGGCTATAGAGACCGGTAATGTGAAACGGCACATCAGAATGTCCCAGTGAAGCAGTATACCCTCCTCTGAGGTTTTGCCACCATCCCACGTCTATCAGCCCAATCCCAGAAGAGGCCACTCTAGGTTCCTTGAGCCCACTGCTCCTTTCATTCCTGCTTCTGAAGATCGCTTCAAGCAGACAATCAGACCGCAGTGGGGAAGCACCATCGCACACCGGCGTCCAGCGGTCTTACCTGCGACCTCCTGCCCAATAGTGGATAAGGTCGAGGTCATGGCAGGATTTGGCCAACAGGGAGAAGGAGCTCTCCGCCTCATTCCGCCAGTTCCCCCGGACAAATGAGTGGGCAAAGTGATAGAACCCCACCTGGAGAGGAGCGGCAGAGACATACGTGTCATATGTGCAGCGACGCTTTTGATCAAGGGGGCTGGCTGCACCTGCAGGTACTCATTTGGGCTCAGCTCCCAGTGACCTAAATCAGTCCCGTGTTTGTCTTAACTAGCTCAGTTAAGAACTATCCCAAGTCCTTCAGGTGCAGATGCATTAAAGAGGCCTGGAATATTACAGGTGTGGAATACTCCTACAGGAGCGTGTTACAATGAGGCAGTTTCACCGTCACTCACCGGCTCCAGGTGCTGGATGTGGATGATGTCACCAATCACGTTGCTGTCTATCAGCTCCTGCAAAGACACAGAGGCCCTGTCAGGCATGCCCCCCCTCTGCCAATCATTCTGCAGCTACTGGGATAAGCCAACGAGGAACCTCATTGGGCGGAGCGGTGGCTCTGTGGCTATGGATCTGCACCTGTGGCTGGAAGGTTGCCGGTTCGTATCCCACGGCCGGCAGAGGAATCCTACTCTGTTTGTATGTATTGTATTGTATGTGAATACACTGCACAGCCAACAGAACTACAAACACAACCAGGGAAGCAGTGTAGTGCAGTAGTGTCTCTCATCTGGGGCCTTCCAAATGAACATGCAAAAGAGGAAATGCTAGTAAAGAAAACTAATAATGAAATAAGCAGATTCATTGCTGTTTCTCTGATCTTTGACTACATACAAATGGAGAGGCATAAGGTCATGACAGGAAAACAACTACTGGTATGAATACCAAGCTACACCTTCATTGTATATCAATTTAAAATACATCTCATAAGCCTTTGAAGAATGCATCCTTATTAACTGTTCACATTTGCAGTTTTCTGATGTAGCAGCATGGAAATAAAACGACAAAATGCTTCAGCTGACAAGAATTCTTCAGAATGTATTTTTTTTCAGTTCTTTGTCCACATCAAAACAGGACAGATTTCCTATGCTTGTTACATCAAAAACGGTAAAAAAAGGCAATGACCAATGTTACTATTGTAGTCTGGCACACACTTGACGCTGTTCGGATAACCTATTTACAACAGAGAACACTGGCAAAAGGGTTAAATTCTCCAACCTCTGCTTTTACAAGGAATCTGAGACATATGACAGGCCTCTTTGCTCATCTTAAAATTCCCTCCAGTGCAAAAACCAATCAGAGACTGTCTGTGGCCGAGCAGGGAGACTGACAGCCAATCAGAAGCCATGCAGGTGAGACAGGGCAGCCTGGGGACCAATAGGAGGTAAGTGGAGTGAGTTCTCTTAGACTTCGAGCCAATGAGAGAGGGCTGCTTTGCAGAAGCAACCAGACAGGAGCCACTCAAGGGCAGGCAGACGCTGGCAATGCTGAGAAGCACTTTGGCTGCAAGAGTTACTGGAAATTTCCATAGGAGAGCAGCAGGGGGGGGGGG